CCCCTTCAAGGGCCAGCTCTGCCCTCCTTGGGGCAGCACCGTCCCTGCCGAGCACGCGGACTGCTGCACAGGGGCCAGTTTGCGTTGGCTGCGGTGCTGCCTGTCATGGCCGAGCTGGGCTCCGGGAGAAGCCCTGGTCCACCAGTGACAGCTGCGGGCGCAGCAGGGGTCCTCAGGGCTGCCCTCTGCCCCGCTGCCCGCAGCTCCTCCTCATGGGGGAGAATGAGATGCAGGTCCTGTTGGAGGGCAGCTTTTGCCAGGTGGGGCCCGGAGTGACCAGCAGAGGGTGACAGGAGCACCCTAGGGCTCTGAGGACACCCGGCTGGCTCCCCTGCCGGACAGTCAGTGTCGGGGCCAAGAGTAAAGCATGGCAACCAGCAGCTGTGAGGGTGTCCAAGGGCAGGTCCCAGGCGGCTCCGCAGGGTAGGGCTCTGAGGCGCCCTGCGGGCTGGGGAACGGGGGTCACAGGATGCGACTCTGGCGTGAGTGGACGTGGAAGTCCCAGGGTGCCACCTGAGGCTGGGAAGAGGGGGTCTGGGGTTATCCCTGGAGTGGGGGGACAGGGAGGCACTGGGATGTCACTCTGGCACCTGGGGAAGGGAGATCTGAAGCTCCTGCAGCGGGGGTGGGGCCCTGCCTGAGCCCGTCTGGCCCTGTCCTCCGCAGACACCAACGTCTCTTACCACATCGAGGGCGGCCGGCAGGCGCTGAGGGTGGTCTTCTGCCTCGACAGCTACCACTTCTCCAAGCTGCCCTCCCGCCTGGAGAGCGGGGCCAGCCTCCGCCTGCACACCGTGCTTTTCACGAAAGGTGAGCTGCGGCTATGGAGGACCACAGGGCCCAACCAAAGCCAAACAACGGGGAACCAACCCCTCCCTCCCTCCTCTCCCTTCAGCCCTGGAGAACGTGGAGGGGCCGTCTCCTGCGGGCAGCCAGGCAGCAGAGGACCTGCAGCAGGAAGTCAATGCCCAGTCCCTGGAGAAGGTCCAGCAGTACTACCGCAAGCTCAGGTGTGTGCCTGGGGCTGTGCTGGGGCCAGGGTTCAGAGAGTGCCACAGGGCGTGGACACAGCAGTGCCGGGCAGACCCTCCGCGGGAGGAGTGGGCCAGACGCCCCTTTCTAGGGCACCTGCTCTGTGCGGGGCCTTTGCATGAGAGTCCGATGACGGTGCGCACAGTAGGTCATGCTAACTCATTTTCCAGAGGAGGAAACTGGGACCCAGGGGCATACACAGTGTGCCCAAGGTCACACAGCCAACAGTCTGGCTTCAAAGCAGGTCCTTTCTGCTGAGCAGAGCTGCCTGTCCACTCTGCGTGGGGACTGGAGCCGAGATGGGTGCTGAGAGATGGGCCTTGAGAGGGGCGTGGCCCTGGGCCTCTGTCCTGGTCACACCTGCAGGGAGAAGTGGAGGGAACAGATTTTGCTGGGAGCAAGCACGTGTCCAGGGGAGCAGCTCCCACGTCCTTAGCAGCCTCAACATTGGCCCTCCGAGTCCTGCCTTGGTGACAAAGGGTGGCTGAGAATTAGGAGATGGCAGGTCCAGTGTCAGGGCCTCCTCCCCTGGGGCCTGGTTGGCCACTTGCTGTCATCCACCTGCTCCACAAGCTCGTCTTTCACCTGTGGCTTCTACTCCCTTCCACGGCCCAGTGGAGACCGCCTGGTTCCCAAGGCCTAGGTGCCCATGGGTCGGCCCTTCAGAGGAACCTCTGTGCCCCAGTGAGCGGGCCCAGGGCCAGGCGGGGACGGGCTCAGGGAGGAAGAGCAGGTCTAGGCGGCAGCAGGGCAGGGGCTGTTGAGGACAGCACTGGGGGGGAGGTGCCCTGTGGCCGGGGGCTGTCAGAGGAGCCCTGAGGGTGGCCTCCTCCTGGGAGACCACGGCCCTGCAGCTGTGGCTGGGGTGGCCCCTCTCAGCCTCTCTCTCCCCCAGGGCGTTTTACCTGGAGCGGTCTAACCTGCCCACGGACGCCAGCACCACGGCCGTGAAGATAGACCAGGTGCGTCCCCCTGCAGCTGGGCTGTGTGGGGCTCCCGGGGTCAGGACTCGGGGGGCCTGAGGAGCCACTTGGTCCACCTGGGAGTCCCCAGGAGGTTTCTGCTCACTGGTGGCCTGCTCCTCTCTGCTCTCGTGGTAACTGCGGGTCTCTCTGGGGCCGGCGCCCTGCAGGTCGGAGAGGTGGACCCACGCCGGGGGGCGGGGGGGGCAGGTCCTCTTTTGCCTTCACAGTGATTGTGGGCACTTAGAGATCGAGAGGTCTCCTCATAACAACGGAGGCTTCCGGCTGTTTTGAGAAGTGGACGGGTGTGAGGCCTCTTGGGCTCCTCCCCACGGCTGGCCTGTGCTGGGTGGGGTTGCCCAGGGCCACCAACCTGGTGGCCCCTGCTCTTCAGTGTCTGTGGCCGGCCTTCCCGGCTTGTGCAGGCCTCACCCCGGCGTGGTGTTCTGGCCTTGGGGCTGGAAGCTGCCCTGGGAGATGCTGGGCACCGCGCTGTGGGATGTGTGGCCGGCAGGATCTCGCCGTGGCACAGGAAGACTGAGCCACCTTTACCTGCACGCGGTGGCTGGGGGTCTGGGACAGCAGGGAGGGCTCCTCCTCAGGAGGGGTCTAGAGGGCACGAGCGAGGCACGGTTTGTGCTCAGAGACGCCCTGGGCATGAAGAGGCCGGGCTGGGGGGTGAGTCCTGAAGTACAGGGCGAACGCCGAATGCCAACTGCAGGGTAGTGGGGAGCCACAGATTGCTCTTGAGCAGAGGTCATGGAAACCTTGGAGAGGGCACTGGGGGGACAGGTGCAGGGACCTCTGGATGAGGAGGAGATGGGGAGGCAGGCCAGAAGCCCTCGGCTGTACCCCGAGTGTCCCCATTGTATCTGTCCCACGCCTTGCAGCTGATCCGCCCCATCAACGCCCTGGACGAGCTCTGCCGCCTCATGAAGTCCTTGGTGCACCCCAAACCTGGGGCCGGCGGGAGCTTCGGTGCCAGCCTCATCCCCGTCTCCTCGGAGCTCTGCTACCGCCTGGGGGCCTGTCAGATGGCCCTGTGCGGCACCGGCATGCAGAGGTAGGCCAGAGAGGGCCGGGCCTCGGGGTCAGGGTGGCTGGGCCCAAGGCCTGGTCCTCCACTGCTTGCCGGCCCCGGGCAGGGCCTCGGTGCTCTGGCCGCAGGTTGCTGTGAGATGCGGCAGCGGTGGAGGGTGGCAGGGCTGCGGGTGTCCTGGAGCCGGGCTCGGGAGCAGAAGGCGGGTGCCGGGCTCCGGAGCCTGCCATTCGCGAGGACACGGTGTCACACACCTCCTCGGGCTGCGCTGGTCTCTTGGCCTTGCTGGACACTTCTCCCTTCTGTCCCCGCCCTTGTGTTGGCCCCAGGGAGGAAGACCGCCCCTCTCCAGTGGGCCCTTCCAGGCCCCCTCGTCCCCCCACTCAGGTGCCTCCCGCTCACCAGGGCCTCTGTTTGCTGCCTGCCCCCCCAGGCAGGGTCCCGTGAGGTCAGGGGCCGTGTCACTCTCTGCCGTAGCCCACCACCTAGCCCCATGTCCCGCATGATAGGCACTGATGGACAGGCGTCCAGTTGTGTCCCATCAAGGGAGGAGGGCGCCCTGCGAGCTGGGCACTGCCAGGTGTCTGCGCTCACGGGCCCATTTCCTCCCGCTGAGCCCGTGTGGAAGGGCTCATTCAGGGGCTCTCAGCCAGGGGCAGTTCTGCTCCCCAGGGGACATGGCAGTGTCTGGGGACTGGCATCAAGTGGTGGGGCCAGGTGCTCTCCGTCCTGCAGTGCGTGGGACAGCCCTCTTTCTGGTCCCCACGTCCATGACACATTCATCTTGATTCTCAGGAAACTGGGGTGTGCAGAGATGGACTGTCTGTCCAGGGTCCCGGAGTGAAGGGCGCAGGGTGGGGTTCCAGCCGCAGGCCTGGTGCCGAGCCAGTTCTGACACGATAGGGTCTGAGCCACGTGGCTGTGCTGGGGGCCACTGAGCAGAGGCCAGGCCGGAGGAGTCCTCTCGGTCAGCCCTCAGCTCACTGAGAGCCCCCAGGCCCTGCCTGGCAGCAGTGACCTGCCGAGGGGTGGCAGCTGCCAGGAGGAGGAGGGCAGGTGGGGGAGGTCAGCCCGGAGAGGACGCAGGGCGGAGGTGGGCCGGGGCCTGGCGGTGGGAGCTGCTGCCCACGCCCTCTCCCACCCGCAGGAGCACCCTGAGCGTGTCCCTGGAGCAGGCGGCTATCCTGGCGCGGAGCCATGGGCTGCTGCCCAAGTGCATCATGCAGGCGACGGACATCATGCGGAAGCAGGTGGGCCTCGGCGGCGCTCCGGGATGGGGCCCAGGGGAGCTGCTTGCTCCCTGTGTGTGGGAGGCCACCTGGGCCTGTGCGCCCTCAGCCCAGACTCAGCCCACCTGGGAGCCCGGGGCCGTCAGCTTCCAGGGCCCCCCACCAGCAGCCAGGTGTCCCTGCCTGTCCCCACTCCTCCAGGCCCCAGACTGACACTCTTTCCTTCCAGGGCCCCAGAGTAGAGATTCTGGCCAAAAACCTCCGAGTCAAGGATCAGATGCCCCAGGGCGCTCCGCGGTGAGTGGCCCCTGCCCCGTCTCCTCCAGGGGGCCTTGAGCCTGGCAGACCCCTGGGCTCTGCCAGGGCCCACCTGGCTTTTGAGGACCCTGCTTTGGGAGAGACGAGTCTGGCTCAGTCTGTAACCTCACAAGGACCTGCTTCTCCTGGAGCCCTGGAGAGGGTCCCTGAAGGTCCCAAGTGAGCGGCGGGAGGCTGCTGGGGGGACCTGGTCAGCACCTTGCGGCCAGTCCGCCCTCCCGTCCTCCACCCCACCGTCGCTCGGTGGCACTGAGCCCTGTGCAGCCCCTGGGACCTGGGTTCACTGGGCCAGACCCTGTCCCCCGCCCACCCTGCCCCGTTCCTTCTCCGCGTCTGCCCACGGTGTTAAATAGCTTCTCATCTGGGAACAGCTTGGATATTGCTAAAGTCGTGCAGTGTCCCCACACGCCCTGGGGCCACTGCCCCAGTGACGCTGTCTTCCATGGCCCCAGCAAGTGGTCGGGCCAGGCCGCTGCCCTTGGTGGTGCTGCAGCCCTTGCAGGCCTCGGTGGTGCCCCAGGGCGCCACACGGGCTGGTCACCCTCGGCTCTTTTCCTAATGCTTTTTGGGCGGTTCCCCGCCCCAGGCTCCCGGCCCATCTTCCCATGGGGACCCATTTGACCCAAACAGCTATGCTGAGAGCAAGGTCCTGCTGTGGTCCCCAGCTGGCAGGTGGGGGTGCTGAGGCCCAGGAAGTTAAGCATCTTGTCCAAGGTCACTCAGCTGGGAGATGGCAGAGCCGCCGAACCCAGGCCCAGCCCTGTCCCCTGAGCCCTCTGGGGCCTGGCTTTCCCGTACTGCGGTGGCCTGCTGCCCGTTGCTCCCGCTCTGCGGTCAGGACTCCTCGTGGCCCATCTGACCTCCTGTCCAGCTGGAGAGCCAGCAGCCGCCCCCCCTCAGGTGCAGGCTCGGCTTGGAGCCCTCTCTGAACCCTTCTGCATCTGGGTCCCGGGGTCTGCGGAGGGAGGAGCTCCGTCAGAGACTGGGTCTCGCTGGTGGCCGCAGGTGCAGAAGGGCACCCCATGCCCCCCACCCCCATGTCTGAACACACAGGTCTGCTCACAAAGACACGCCTGTGTCTGTAAACACCTGCAGGCCTCTGGGGGACAGATGTGGCCCAGGAGGGGACCGGGCAGCTGGGAAAGGTGTGGCATGTCCACGTGTTCACACTCCGTCTCTTGATTCCTGCAAAGTGGTGTCCTCTGGGTGTGCATCACCCATAAGGTCAACAGAGTGGCGGGGGAGTGCTGAAGGGCCTCTGGGGCCCCACTCATCCTCTCTCTCCTGCCCCCACCAGCCTCTACCGCCTCTGCCAACCTCCAGTGGACGGAGACCTCTGAACACCACGGGTCACCGCTCAGCTGCACCCACGGAGCCACGGAGTGAGGGGACCCAGCAGGCCATGCCACAGGCAGCAAAAAATGGCCCGAGGCTCCTGCCCAGCTGTCCCTGGCCAGCCCCCTGCACTGCTGCGAGGACAGGGCCCACTCAGCCATGACTGCCCACCACCCTGGGCCGCACATTCTCCACCCTGGGCACCGGGCTCCAGGGCTTGTGGAGCTCACAGTGCAGCCAGGCTCCGGACTCCATCCCAGTCCTAGGGACAGTGTCAAGGTGCTGCCCTGGGAGGCCTGTGGACAGCTCCCTGGGGATGGCGCCACTGCACTTTGAACCAGACCACATCCCAGGGCCCGTGCCGTCTTCGCCCGAGCTTCCCGCGCACCCCTAACCTTACTAACCAGCTCGGTGGACTCAGGGCACCTGGCCTCGGCCAGGAAGGAGAGAAGGACAGGCGTAGCTCCTGCCACTGGAGGACACGCAAGAGCCACACCAGCTAATGACGTCACTCACCGCCATCGGAACTGGAGCCGCCAGCCCTGGGCCGAGACGCACTCGGACTTATTTATATGGCGTGACGTCTCTGGTGTTTTATTTTATTTTTTGTTGTCGTTGCCGTCTTCGAGATTTTTCTAAGGTTGTATAATTATATATTTGACATTTTAAGTTTCAAAGAAAGGCATATTGTCTAACAGGGACCAATGTGAGGTAGTATTGCAGTTTTACCCAGTTCTACTAAAAAAGAAAAACTAAATTATTGAAAAGTTTAAGAACACTAGTGTGTCCTCTGTTTTAGAGTTGGGGTGGCAGGGTGTCCCGGTCTCCACAGGTGCCTGCTGCCCACCCTGCTTCTCCAGCGTTGACTTGGGGTTAGAACTTTCTAGATGGTGGCTGCAAGGACTTGAGAGGTGTCAGAGCTGCGGAGGGAGGCGGGGAGCCGGGGGCCACCGAGGGGCCTCCTGCGCGGGACACTGCATGGCACCTCGGGTGGACTTTATTTTTTTGATGTTAACTTCTCAGAGCAGGGCGTCTGGGACTTTGAAGCCACCTGCCCTTGTGGGCAGAGGGACCCACAGAGGACCCTCAGCAGGCTGTCCCTGGCGTCGGCACTGCGGGGAGCACGGGGAGGAGGGGGTGTCTTGTCACTCTCGCCACCCTGGCTGGCTGGGAGAGTGGGTGTGGGCTGCTACTGGGCACCCTGGTCCCCGCCGTCCCCAGAGGCCACCCCCTCTTGTCACCGTGCACAGGCCCACAAGAGGTGGCTTTGTTGCCACGTCTTGCTGCAGGTTAAAGCCCAAGACGCGCCTCAGCCCTGTTGAGGGCGCTGAGGGCCCCGGCGGCGGCGGCCACTGCGCACTGGTTTTCTTAGGTGTCCGGGCTCCTCTCCTCACAGTCGCGATGGCTTTTAGTACCACCAAAACCAGTTGATGACACAAAGGAGGCGGCTGCCGCCTGCCTGGTCTGTGGCACGTGGCCTGGGGCGGCTCTGACCTCTGACAGCCACACAGGACGGTTGGGAGCTCTGTGCCGGGTCCTCCAGCCAGTGGCCCCCGGCTCTGGTGCCTCCACCCGGTGCCTCAGGTTTCTCCGGGTCACAGGGACAGAGTGGCTTCCTTGCCGGGCACGGCAGGCATGGCCTGAGATGGCACGGGGCTTGTGACTCGCTGGTAGCGGTGCGTGATGGGTCTTGGGTGGGTTTTCCCTGTGTTCAGGACCGGACCTGGGGTTTCCGTGAGGTAGAAGATGGTGACTGCCATCTCCCCAGCAGCTGGCTGCCCCCTGCTGGCGCCTTAGGTGCCAGAGGCTTAGGAAGGTCTGAGGGACAGCACCCGGTCGTCCTGCGCCCCAACCTGCAGGGCCACTGGATCCGAGCAGGAGTGGAGCCGAAGCTCAGCGCGGGCGGGTGGGCTCCCGCCGGGGTCCAGGCTGACCCTCCGGGCCCATTCCCGAGGGCCCCATCCGGCCCCTTCCAGGGTATCCTTGTGTCTTTCAACTGAGGTTTCAGAAGACTCGATGCTGTGACAGCATTTGGGACTTTGGGATCTGGGGTGTCGTGATGGATCAATTCTTTAGAATTATCTGAGCCAGTTTCTGGATCCAGAGAAACTCAGAGACGACTGTCACCCCCAGCTGGAGTTGGGGCCAGCAGACGCTGCCACCTGAAGGATGGGTTGCAGCCTGGACTCTGCCTGGGGCCTGCAGAGAAGGGCTGGGCGGGCAGCCTGGGGCCGGCTGGGGCTTGGCGGGGTCGGGGGGACGGGCCCCACTTCCCTCTTAGACATGCCCTTCCAGTGCTCAGCAGGACAGAGGGCTTCCAGGGCCAGGGGCCTTCTTATAGGAGACCAGAGGACCCCGGG